TGCGTTTAAGATAAGTCTATCATCTGATTTTTAGATAACGATATACTAGATAAGAAATACATATTCGTTGTAATCTCCATCATCAGATGCGATGACTTTTCGAGTCTAAAGAACTATCGGATGCGCTCACCTGTGTCTCGACCTCACAAACATCAGAAGAATTAAAGATATGAGTCTTATTATTAGGTGAGACTTCAGTATTTGAAATATAGATACTTACCAAGGTATTAGATAAAGATGTCATCCTCACTTATTATATCTTCCGAATGAGACAACTTCGTAGTTGATATATCATCTTTGTTAGAAGGTTCATTACGTGCGCGTTACTTTTCGTAACGCCGATCACTTTTTGGCATTTACTGTATTCGTATTAGTATCTTATCTATCCCCATCCCTGTAAATAGTGTGTAATTTTACATCAGTAATGTCAGGAAAAAGTAATTTAATTTCGTTATACACCAATGTTCTAGCTGATTGTTCATCGACATTTTTCATAGCTTTATAGTCTTCAACCTGATCCTCATATGTTTTATAGAAACAATACCAGCATAGATTTTCCTTTTTCCCGATCTTTATTGCTACATTAAATAAATTAGTTATATTTTGTGTCGTAATTTTATTAGATCCCTTTAAATCATCTCAAGGAGGAATTCGGGTATTTGAATATCAAATAAACTATGTTTTTTTATATCATCGTCTTTGATAAAAACTGATAGCTCATGTCTCAAACCTTGCTTCACTTTCTGATTGTATGGAATTTTTGTCCTTTCATGCATAGTGATCGAGGATTACCAATGTTAGAAACAATGTTTGCTGAATATTCCATACTTGTTTCATTCTGTTTTTCTTTTTCTATCCTGAGTGAGTTATGAATATTTGATGCTTTGAACGTTGAGCTTTGCTTTCCTCTTCAAAAGATGTTGGGGATATTACAGGAGGCTCTTAAATTCTAAGTTTTTTTTCCCTATTCCTCTCTCTCATCAGATTACTAAACATTTTCTTGTTTTCCGAATTTAGGAAAGAATCAATCTCCTTTTCTTCTAATGATTTAGGATATCTTTGATGAGGCTGAGATAAAGTGACAGGTGTCATCTTGGGCATTGATTCTTCAGGAATAAAATCATCTATTTCCTTATCTGATACCTTTGGTACCCCTTCCATTGTCTTGGTGTCAACATTATTTTGTTGATCCACAACGGAGTTAGATAAATCACTGAATTATCTACAGATAACCGCGCCTCTGGCATCGCTTCCTTACCATTCTGTGTTTGACTATCCACAACAAAAGAAGCCTGTTCCAATATCGCAAATCTAGCTTCAAGCTTTGTATTCTTTTGTTCTAGTTCCTTGACTCTAGCGTCGTGCACTGTATTCTCCTCAATAATCTGCTTCAGCTTCACATTCTCAGCCTCAATCTCAACAAACCTCTTTTGAATTTTTTGCTATATAAGTATCGAATTATACTCTATCATGTAATGGATCCTAGACCTTCAATCCACGTCGGGCATGCGACAAGTTTAAAGAATAAAATAATCGATTATTAACTTTTGTTCACTCATACATTTCAAGGCTAACACTGCAATAAAGTCTTACCTATATGCCCTCTTTTACAGTCAGTGGATGCGGTATGATTCGGATTTGACTCGCTTTCAGTCTGTCAGGTCTGATTCGGTTATTCAAATATCATACATTGTTGAGATCTTGTCTAGAAATAGAAGAAACAACTGATCCGCATAATTCTTTTTCTATTCTATCCTCACGATCTTTATAAACCTGGGTGAAGTCTCTCAAATTATGAAAGAATGAACTATGGATGAAATATACTATACTACACTCCCATACACGCATAAAATCCAATATTCATTAGTTAAATCCTGTTCAAGATTTAGAAAATTCGTAATTATACAGTTAATAGTATTCATTTTTTCGATACATGCACCCATACGACACAAGCAAAAATAAATTCAAAGCCTAAGTTAGGCATTAAGTCAACTTCGGATAAATAGTATATGATTAACAATAAATGTGATAAAAAATTTGGTTTCTATAATATATGCTACATGCAAAAAAATCCATTCCCTTAGCAAGATACTGAGTCAGTTTCATATTACCATAAAAGAAATTACACGCTGTAGTATAAAAAATGAACCAAATACATCTTTTCTAAATCAATGATGGTAATTCTGAAGGTAATCCACCAGGACATGGAGATTAGAGAGATGAGGGTAAAGTTTGATTTTTTTTTTTTGTCTTCATTTTCTTTAATAGTGCATCTTCAACTGAAGTTAAATGAAGATTATTTTCTCCTCTTGTATTATCTACTATGATTGCTTTATTTACTGCCCTACCCATTGACAAGACATTAGCCTGTAATAACAAAGAGTGGTTATTATATATAATATATTTGACAGGATATCTAAAAATATTCATTTTAGTCATTTACCTATCAATTTATTAGGTCTTTTAGATCATTAGTAAATGTTCAGAGTCTCCAAAGGAGACAGATAATTTGGTATACATAAAGTATTAAAATATATATAGTCACCTATCATATTATTATAGACACAATTTTTTTTTAATTGTACAAAATTAGATAAATAAATATAGTTTAAATTTTTATAGTTTATTTACAAAGTCTAAAAATATAACATATTAAAATTTCATGCAATTTTACTTTGATATACAAAAGTTATGCAAAAGAGAAAGCAAACTATTTTTTTTAGATAAAACTAGTTTTTTTTTTGTTTTTTTTTTTATTTTTTTTCATGTTCGTTTCAAGGCTACATATTAAATTTTTCTAGAATATTTTGTATTACCAAATTAATATTATGCAATATCAAAAAAGAAATTTGTTTATAATAGAATTAGTATAATTAGATATTTTTTTTTCTTTAACAATTGATGCAAGATAGATTGTTATCTCAAATAATGAGTAGCAAGAAAAACTTAATTTAAGGGCAGAAGGATTTTATAATTTATGGTTTCCTGAAAAAATATTCAATTTGTACTATTGCAGTAACTATTAATTATGAAAGATTTTCTGTATACAATGTCATAAAAAAGTTTTATGAATTAGATACTTTGGCTCTTCCAAAAATCATCTTAAATATCATAAAATTCTCATCCCCCTTGATCATGTTAATTTCAAGAGTCTAATCACCAATAGCAACTGTTATTTCAATATAGCCCAAATTATTAATCTCTTTAATATTCAAAAAAAAAAAAAAAGAACACTTGTCTCTAAAAGTATTGTTCATTATATCTTGCATAATAAAAACTTGAGATTTTGTATTGTTTGCTTAAAACTATTTGTATCTTTTAAAAATACAAAGAAAAGGCTTGACTAGTATCTTGCCTATAAAATTTAATTTATTAAAAGATTTCCCTATATTTTATGATCTAATGAAATCATTATTTATCATTTTCTAGATTTCTCTAATTAAATTTGATATAAATAATATAAAAAATAAAACATTAAATGTCTGAGCAGTACTGTTAAGCATAGTCAAGATCACATATATTGAGATTGCTTCTTTTGATATTATATTGGATCCCATATTCTATTGAAGTCTATTATCACTGACACTTTACATGTTGATATTATGTAAAGATATATTTTACTGACTCTAAAAGATTTTAAAGGTTGTAAGAATTGTTATCTATTCTTTAACAAGATAATGTAAAACTATATATTACCAAGTTAATTTTGAAATTTATTAGAGAATAAAATAAATTGACCTCTACAAAGTCTCAATCTTAATCTGATTAAGAACTTTTGAATCAAGATAAAAAAATTAATACATCACAAGCCAAAACCAAATAACTTTTATTAGCTTGATATTCTTGTTAAATAAGTGTAATATAATTAATGATGGGTCTCTAAAGTATTTAATATATAAAATTTTGCAAATCACTTATGTTCCTTTTTAAGAGACAAAATTCATAGTTCCTCACTTTAATAGGAACAAAAGTCAGAAAATACTATAAATTAATGATTTAAATAATGAAGAACAAATGTAGGTAGTTTTTTTATAATTATTAATTTAAAGATTTTAATGATTCCTAATGAGGGACATTGACTTTTGTTCCTGCCTTCTCCTTTAAAAACACATTTTTAGATATAATATATCACCATAATATTGTTGCAAGCTGATTATAAGTATACCTGATCAAATCCCTACTTATATTAGAGTTGGAAGAAACCTACGAAATACTAGAATATAATTAGATTGGTTTTTTTATAAAAAAAATTTTTTAAAATAAATAAATAAATAACTGGTTCAATAAAAAAAACCAAATCTGTAAGTTTTTCTATATAACTTTTGAGTGATAGAATAAATAAGATAAAATATTAATATGACATATCTAGATATTTATTGAATATATAATCAAAAAATTATATTATATTTACTTATTTAATTTTGTACAATTAAAGAAAAAAAAGTGTTCACAATAATATAATAGGTGATTATATATCAATAAATTGATTAAACTGAATATTTAATTTTAATAAACTTATTTATAAAAAAATATTAAGCATATATAATAAAAATATAAATAAAAATCAAATTTTATAATATTTGATTTTTGATTGTAATACTTACTGAAAGATTGTATTAAATATTCTCATACATAGTTCTTTAATATAGTTTTTAATAATTTATTTAGAGTTCTCATTGTATTTCAATATAATTTTAACTGATTATTCTCTTTTTTTAAACTCATATACTTTTTTCTATATAAAAATTCCACAATAATTATAATCAGTTGTCTTGATCACTTTATACAATTCATTAAATTTATGGTCATTTGTGTCTAGAGTAGTTTGTTCAATCATTAGTCAAATAACAAAGATTAATAAGCTAAATAATTTAAAACTGAATTTTAAAATTGATATTTATTATATGATATTTAATCCATCTTAATGTATTCAAAATAGTTGATTTAAAATATATACTATAATATTGATCACAAAAGTTCTTTCTAAATTGAGGTCTTTAAGAGATAAGTAAATTAAGTAAAGATTTAACTTTAGTAAAATATTTTATAATATATAGTATATTAACCATTTAATAAAATATACAGTATATATAATATATATATATATATATTTTTATTACCCATGATCAGATCAGTATTATGTGATTATTAATTATTAAGAAAACTGATTGAGATACATAGGGCAATTGCATCATAACTAAACTAAAATCTTGTATTGACATATTCATCAATGGCTTTCAGTTCTCAAAGAGCTTCAGCCTCTAAGTTAATCTTGGAAACAATATTTCGCTCTGAACTAAGTTTTGGGTAAAGATCTTTCTAACTTATCCATTATTGCCAGCAGATTGTCACTACTTATTATCCTCCAAGGAACTGAATTTAAGAAACTATAAAAGAGGAAAGGAAAAAATAAAGGGGAAGAGGAATATCTAAAAATGTGCAAACGCACTTACATAAAAATGAAAAATAAAAAAAGAAATTTAAAATTGCTTCATGTCCTTCAAAGAACCTTGGCTAGAAATCTCTTCTTATTAATAATCAACCCTTCTAGGATATCCTTTTTCTTCCTGACTGTTTGAGAAACGTATCCATTCATGCTCTTGATTATTTTCTTGTGACCGTCTGAGGTACTTATCACCTATTCGGATCTAGTGTTTTACTCAATGCTTCCTTTCTTTCAGTCTTGATTTTATATTCATCTGCACAGAAGAAAATGACTAATGATGGATCCTAGGTTCTTATATAGCTTTTTAGTTTGTTGTGTAACTCCTGATATTTTCCAGCAGCCATACCTAGTTAAAGGAATTTTACTGGGGTATATCTTCCATTATCCAAAAAGTCAGATTCCTCAACAATCTTTTTGCTCTGCAATGGTGGGAGGGTTTTGAATAGTATGGGAATTCTTATCGATTATGATATCATTACATAATGTCTGGGGAAATGCATTCTCAATCCTAGAGAAGGGCAGTGTTTTATATTCCTCTGCTTTTCAGTTTTATAGCCTGACTGGGATAAGGAAATAACCTTCTTCGTGTACTTTGCCTAACCAGAATAATAAGAAGTTGAAGGCCTCGACTTGAACAAATAACCACCTTTTTATCACTTAGGGAATTTAGTGCCTATCCTAATGGCCTCATGATTTCTTTGCTTCAGTTACACTTCATTTGAAAGAATAAAGGAGTCCATATCAATGATCACTTTTTTTTTCACCAATAATGTCATCAAAACATGTGATGTAATCAATAGGAGCTTGTTTACAATCTGCTACCAATATGTTTCATATTGATCAATCATCTTTAGTAAAAGCTATGTCGATCTTGTATTACTCCAAAATTCAGGGTCAAACTGGGGTAGGCAAAATTCCTCAAAAAACTTTGAAAAATGAAAAACTCTAAGAGGGTAGAAACAGTGATAAGAAAATTTTTTGGTTTAGGCTTTTGTTCGTCTATTCACTTACTGCAGAAAACCTTTAGTTGTACTCTTGCTTCAGGAGATAGGCTTTCAGTACTTCACTGTTGATTTTTCTTTCTTTTAGAACTTTTTTGTCATTGGTAAAAAAGGTGTTTCTTGACTTTTCTTGATTACCGGAAGTCAAGTTTTTGTTTGAAAAGAAATATAAACAAGAAAGGAAAGTTGAAAGGAACTCTTGAAAATATTCTTCAAGTTGTTTTAAAGAAAGTAATAAGACTTTATTAGCAGAAAAGTATAAAACTTTTTGCAAATATCTTTTTTGTGTGTTGTCAAGGGATCAGCGAAAAGAGTTTTTTTTTTACATATAAAATATATATACAATATACAGTATATATATATATATATATATATATATATATTTTTTTTTTATCTGATGTCAGGTTAGTTATGTATGTTTTATTAAACATAATGTAGGCTATACTATTTACAGTATCACTAAAGCTAAAACACTAACTAACTTACTTGTTTTAGTTTATTGTCAAACTCTAAGTGCAACTTTGGAAGTGATTTGTCACTCCATTTATAGTTTGGATGAATACTCTTCTACTATGAATATCATTGCCTACAGTCACTACTGCAAATCACTGGCCAAAGTTCTGACTGAGCTTAAAACCCAACCATTTCATTCCACTTTTAACTCCCATTATTATTATTCTTGTTAAATCTTTTCCTGGACATTTTTCTTCCATTTTCTTTCTTTCTTCTCTTGACTTTTTTATCTTTCTTGTTGAATAA